ATGCTGGGTGTTTTACAGTGGTTTTATTATTTCTATGTCCATGTTGCTTATTTTAACGAGGTCAGGCTGCATAATTTGGAAACACATTTCCAAACTAGGACTGCAAAAGGACCAGACTCATTCACAGGTGTAGAACTTGATTTTATGAGCACAGTACTGCTCTGAAATGTTCTCCCGCAGATACCAGACCTGTGGAGGACCTGAAGAGGCTTTATCAAGCAGTGTCGGCCTCTGCGATTCTCCCTGCACTTTGGAAACTGCTCAAAAGGCAAACAGCCCCCCCCATTTTGTGTGTTCAGATCTGCATGCTGCCGTGGAGGGTTAAATTCAATCACATCAATGGCCGTCAATAAAAGGCTCTTGGTGTTGATGATTTGGGCATATCTCTGGGGTCGAGACAGGCCGGAGACAGCAAAGACAATGTCTTAATCAAAAGCCCAATAAACGCAATCTCCTGGGCCTGTTTGTGAGTATCAGAGATGTCTGCTGTGCTCCCAGGCTCCCTTCAAAGGCTCTGAGCCCAGGTCTGTTTGTACTCCTTGTTGTGACACAATGGCTGCCCCCCCACCACCTCCCTCCTGGTACCTGGATATCAGTAGCACTTCTCCTCTTTGACGTGCAACAATACTCAAAGAGCTTTGCCCTCTTGTATAAATAACAGGGCTAAAAAAATAATGGCACGTCCTGCACCTCGCACAGAAAACACAAATATGCAGGAAACACTTGCTCTGTTTTCAAGAGGAGCAAAGCCCCAAGCAGGGAGGAGATCAAACTGTAGACAAATACAATTTTTTTTGACTTAACGCCGATGCCAAGTTAATGTTCATCGCCGAAGCCTGCTGGCAAATTGTGCAGCTCCTGCACAAAACGCCCTGCCTTGCGCTCCTGGCAGAGAAGATCTGCAGCCAGCTGCGGTAGGGGCAGGCCTGTCTGTGCAGGTGTGCATACAAGGTCAGAGGTCAGAGGTGAATGCCGGGTCACAAATTATTCAGGCTGGGCTGACTGGGTGTGTTGGTTACAGTTTTTGAATGGTTCTATCGTCAATGTTATGCATGCATTGATGCAACGTACTGTATGTATTTCTATATTCATACAGACTGTCCTTGGTCAGGTACATTGGTACCTACTGAATCTTGGCAAAGGGAAAGTGCACAAAGTACTAAATGCAGGTGTGCCAATAATTGTGACACGTGTTTCTGAGAATTTTTTTGAAAGGATTTTTTTTTCTTTGAATAATTTGACCTCACTGAAAGGTTAGATTTCTCCCACATTTTCAGTGCAAGATCAAGCTGACGGACAACAAAGAGACCATTTTTTTTCATAGCCTTTTTCGCTCATCTTTACCGAGGGTGCCACTAATCCTGGAGGGCACTGTACTTTTAAAACAAGGAAGCTACCGAGACAGGCAACCAAGCCTGTGGCTGGATGAGTGAATGAGGCAAATAACAGGTCAGGAGTGGAGTAGGAGCCCATGTGCACCCTGCTCTGTTCCAAAGGGCAAACTGGCCCCGACAGCCCAGAGGAAACATGGAATTGCACGAGAAGAGTTTCGGTTTTCATCTTTCTAGAAATCCGGCAGTGCTCTCCCTCTTCCTCCCTCCGTTAGTGTACACAGACTCCTGGGAAAAATATGTATCGCCTGATAATCTTATACAAACAAGCAGCCACTTCCTCCCCTTGAGAAGAGTTCAGCCCTGCCAGGTGAACTTTGCCTCGTCAACGACAGCAACGACATCTCGTCACAAACAAACGATATGCAAAATGTGCCTCGCGGCCATAACGGGCTGTGCAGAGAGACGTTCTGCTCTGACCCCCCCGGCGGCAGTCGTTCCGAACAAGCCCAGCGCTCCCGTCCGAATTTCAGACATTTTTTCTGCCGTCTGGTCTCGGCTGCTTGGATAAAACCTCCGCCGTCTCCACAGGCACAGCTCGACGGGCACCTGGTGAGCTCTCAGGGTGCTAAGGGGCTCCTGAGAACCAGGGATGTTATTCTGCGTGACTGATACCCAGCACGGAAAGTCAGGACGAGCCCCTGTGCGCGACACCTTGAATTGGTCAGTGCCTGCAGCTTCAGGAGGTCCTACATCCAGGGGGCTGAGCACCAGCAGGAATACAGCGCAGTCCCACTTGAGTTCTCCTTTGTGCTTCTGTCTGTGTGAGAGGAGGGCCTGACCTCTGACCCCAGACTCACGTCACTCCCACCATTGCCACAACAAACCAGTCGAGGGCACAGACGTGTTGGTCAGTTCGCGAATCTGGCAGCTAATAAAGTTACTTCAGATGCAGCCTGCAGTATGACAGAGCCATGTGGACAGGCACTGAAGCACAGCTCGATTCTGCCATTTGCTTCATTTCTGCCCATGCAGCCATCTTCACGCCCAATCACAAACACCCCGTGCGTAAAACGACCCCTGAAATAAACTCAAAAGAGTGTGTCTTTCAGGGCACGATCGAACCATGAAGTCGAAACAGGCCCTTCTCCGACGTCATTCGGACGAAGGCCCGGTTCCGGACAAGAGTAACCTTCCAGAAAAAGGACATGCCTCATTGGTCGGAAGCCGCTGCCAGCCATGATTGACAAGCCCTCCAGCCAGTAAGAACGCGAGGCTCCTCCCCTTCGCTCGTGTCTCACCTCAACACACTGACAGGCGGAAAAGTAGGGGTCGTCAGCCCCAGCTTGCAACTTTTTAGGCTTTCTTGTTTTCTGTAAATCAGAGTAGTTCTAGACCCAAGGGAGAGTTTGAGTAATGCTCTTTTGGACCGGTTTAATCGTTGAGCATTGGTCCTCAGCTGCTGAACCTTTAGGGACCTAGAAACAGTACAGAACTGTCTAGAACATTATAAGATCTGTGCCTGGCTTTTCACGACAGGGCATCCCATCAGCACCTGGTCTACAACAACCCTACAGGCCAGACACTGGGATGCGTTGCTCAACTCTGGTCAGATAACTGCAAGGCTCTCTTGCTCCACACATCATACCTCCCCTGCCCTTGGCCTACATGTGTCATGGCCCCCTCCAGAGCTGTTCCTCTTCTGGGAAAGACAGGGTTCGCCACGTAGAGACGGCAAGAAAGGAAGGCGTTCACCGACAGTACAGACCCCCCAAACCTGCACATTTGGGGTTCCTGGTGGCATAGAGGCAACAAGGATCCTTGTCATGCCTAGTAATGAGTCACGTCAACCCTGCTAGCCAAGGTGTAGACTGCCTTAGGGAGACAGTCATTGCAGAACAGCAGCTTGGCCCACTGCTGGAGCTCCCACTGTACGGCGGTCAGCACCCAAACCACCTTCAATGATGACGTGACACCAATGACAAAAGTTTAACAAATGCAAAAAAAGATTAAAAGAGTCACATCCTTTGGAGGGGTGAGCAAAGAGCTCGAGTCTGCCCTGCTTTGACTGGAGGAGAACACTCCCCTCACTGGCAGCCTGCTCGAATAGCTGGCCGGGACCAGAGTTTTACAAGCGGAGGAAATGAGCTGATAGCAGAGCAAGGGAACGGATGATTACACAGGGAGCAGCGAGCAGGGGGTTCTGATGTAGAGGAGGGCTGCATTAACCTCTTCTGCTCACATAGCAACACAGTTATTGTTGGCCTCAGGTGCGGAGCTGTGGCTGCAGTCCAGAGTTCTCATATAAATTACATGTCGCGCTCAGCCAAGGGAATCGGGAATAAAGACCTCACAGGGGAGTGCTCCTGCTACCCCCCCACGAGCGTTCAAAGCCACATTCATCATGCTTGCATGTTTTGAAGCCGACCGCCGGCGATAATAAGGCGGCGCAGAGAATTCCTGAAACAATAACATTCGCCCGGGTGAAGTTTTCGATTTTGCTTTTGCTCAGCGTCATGTTCCTTCTCACACTGCCTGTTCCCAAGAATGACCGCCACAGAACTCTCGTCTGCTTCGTACGGAAAACTCACCGCGCCCTCCACCCCCCCTCCCAAGAAATACACGGGACACAAACCCATAAACAACGGACAGGTCTTCTCCAACGAAACGTTTGCATTGGACGTTCCAATTTGTTTTTTTCCTCTAGATTCACGTTCACTTGCTTTGGACGGAATGGAAACGCAAGAGCACTCACACAATTCGAAAGAAGTTCTGATTGAAGCAGTTAAAGAAAATAAATCCACCAAGGTACAAACCCAAGACCTTGCCTTTTGTGTAAAACGATATCAAAAGCAGTGAAGATTCTTCACAGGGGCTTCAGCTTTTACCACACAGATTCCATGCAGAAATCTTTATAAGGGGCTATAAACGTACAGGATTTACCAATGAGGCGTGCCCCCTTCAGCCTCAGTGCGGAGTGGCGTAGTGGCTCTGTTCCTCCCACAGCGCTGGTGTCCCATGTGCTCGGCCGATAGCAAAGACAAACAGGTCACCGGACCAGGGGAGGTGACCTGGCCAAGAACTGGACACATTCCTGACACTTTGGGACAACAGCTTCCCAAAAGGAGGCCGGTCATCTGGAAAAAACCCTGAAACGTTGGTAGGGCAACAGTCCTTCCACCCCAGAGCCGATGAACCCTTTCAAGAGCGTACTCAGTGTTGGCTTGGGCAGACTCGCCAAGTTAGGGCACTGGCACTCGCAGGAACATGCCAGGACAGGATCAGACTGCTGTGCACCTTGAATCTTTCTATCCCAGGAGACAGCGTGGCCAGATTGCTGCAGAACGATTTAAATCCGAATACTTCCCAGAGCACAGTTTAATTTCACTTTCTGCGTACTTTAAACCCTGTCAAAAATCGAATTCTAGGACAAATTATATCACAGTTACAGTGGCAAAGCATATTTAGGTTCGATGCTTTCAAGAAAGAGCCACACTTACACTTTAAATATTCACAAGGCTACCAGTAAAGGTAAAACAAATACCAACGGCACGAAACACTGCTCTTTCGCTCGTAAAGATTTGTGAACATTCAAGACAGGAGGAAAAAAAAGAAAACACCAACTGCAGACAGCACCGTTCACTTTGGGAAAAAAAATGTTTACTTGAAATATTCACTTTACAACAAAGTATAAATATGATTTTAAAAGATTGATTTCCATTCTTTTATACAAAAATATTACATCAAGAGAAGATCAGTTCCAGTGTTTTTGTCCTCTATAGTATAGAAAAGTAAAAGTCCCTCTGAGATCTCGGCAGTGGCTGTCTCACACATGAAACATGGAAAAAAAAGGAAACCTAGCTGTGACCTTTTGAAAGAGTGGCCTTTGTACAACGGAACATATTTATTTATGTGCGTACAAAGTCATGGCTCTGAAGTTTTTACCTCAAATACAATCTGGAAAGGACTTCAATTCTTAATGCATAAAAAAACCCAAAACTTTTTCATATTTACAGGGTTTTGGGAACATTATGAACCTCAACTAAATCAACCACCAGCAGGTTAATTAATACTGCCTCTTTGGAAAAAAGAAAAAGCATCAAATTATTTTCTTCTCAATCCTGTGATTGTTACACAATCCCGACTAGTTATCGCAGTTATTGCGTAAGTAACACTGTTCATCACAGAATGTCCCGTTTCTACAGCGCCACAGTTTTGACCCAGGAACTGCAGATCCCGGTCACCAAGGGCCTCAACAGTGCGTCTGCAGACCGTCCCCTTGTCACAATCACTGACCTTGTGCTGCTTTCTAATTATCAGTGCCTATTATTTGTTGGATATGCAGGGAGGGTGTAGAGAAGAAGGTACAGGTGGGGTCCGTGTCAACTCATTGAAACTCTGGGAAACGCAGCTCTGAACTGGGATGGATGTGAAAAGTCCAGGTTCTCTCCTGGCGTTACGTGATGCTGCAACGGTACTGGTCTTTTTTCATTGCCGCTCTCGCTGAGCTCTGTGTGACCTCCAGTATGTACACGGAAAGACCCACCACCTGCACTTACAGCTACAGTCACATCCAACAGCCTTTCAGTGGGGGTGGAGTACACTCCCAGCAGAGACTCTGTCGTCCTCACTCTCTCTTGCTCCTCATCTCCCCAGTATGGTGCAAACATCAATATCAAAATGAGAAATCACGATGTCTACATGTCACAGATTTTGCACCGGAGTGAAATGAAATCATTCCTGAGCTACTGTTTTGAGACCTTGAGGCTCCGGGTTTGGGAGTTCTGAGCAGTTCTGCTCCCTGGTCTTCCCCCGCTTGTCCAGTTAGCAGACAGGGCGAGGGCGGGCGCCGAGAAGGGCGAGCTCATCTCTGTTAAAGCGAAGCCTTGTCAGTCCTCGGGGATCAGTGTCGAAGAGCACTAGCTCCTGGTCTTCATTGAATCAGCGGCTTCGGGGGCGTTTGATATCAAGAGGTAGACAAGCAGTGGTCTATTTTAATGAAAGGTTTTTAAGGCTCGGCACTGGGGGTGGGATATTGTGTATACAGCCTCAAAGCTCCTTCGGTCTGTGATGGTCTGGGGGTGAGGGCTGCTCCTCTCCTACCAGGACTTGCTCCTGGATTTTTGGAATGTCCAGGTCCCCCCAAATCGCACTGCTCTGCTCCTCAAAACAGCAGTGGAACGCCCCTATACAGGTTCCTGGGGAATGACATCACTGTAGCAGGGCTCAAAGGAGCCCTATTACATCTATCCACACACGCATAGGATGCACAAGGAGCTCTGATGGAGAGAGAGGTGCCCAGTGGTGCCTCATCCAGCAGAAATACAGTGTCAGAAACGCACAATTTGTGAAAAAGATACATGGAAGACTTTACAACATAACAGGCATCCAAAATACAACCGCTGTAAAATAAAAGCGTTACAACTTAAGTTCTACCACTCTACCACCGAGGCAGCACAGGGCAGGTGAATAACCTTGTGATTGTCATACAATGAAGTTTCTTATGAGCGAGAGTCAGATTTGTCATATTATTAGGATTGTCGGTAATCACTGTGATCACTATCGCCACTGTCTCACAGGCGGCGGGTGTGTGTGAAGGCTCCCCTCCAGTCTTCTCTGTGAGGAAGCTGCAGGCAGGGGTACAGAGAGAGGCTGGAAAAAGGCGCAGGGTCAGTGGCTCAGTCCACCCAGCTCTTTCCAATATACTCAGTGCCTCACCATTTTTCCTTTGGTGCCTTGTCCTAGAGGCATCACACTGCACCCAACAGGAAATGGTCCAGATTGATCTTCTTCTGCAGAGGGCACCCAGCTACGCCTGACCCCACCCCTAACAGCCTGGTCTCTCCTCCAGTCCCTCCTCACCCCGCCAGCAGTGTGTCCACTGCAAACAAGACCTGCGTCCAAAATTCCTCTCTGGCTGTTTGTGATTTGTTCTGCTCGGGAGTAAATGACAAAAATCATGCGTACGTGCCGACTTTTAAGGACAAGTCGTTCTTGAAACAAAAGCAAACGTAGCTAAGACTGCACAGAATAAGAACACTGTTGGCACAGCAGTGTAGAAAAAGCAGGAGTTTCCAACTCCAGTCATCTCCTTGCCACTGGGCGTCTGTTATTGAACGTCTTTTACAAGATAAACTTGCAGTTTTGGGTTTTTTTTTTTTGCTTTGTGTCTTTTCTCTGCCCCTCAGGGCTCCATCTCCTGTCGCTTCAAGCCTGGCCAGTTGAACGACGCATCGCCGCGGAGTCCGCTGGTTCCACTGGTTAGGGGTTGCCAAGGTTACGGAAGAGATGTTGTGGAAAGCGTGCTCTGGTTGCTAGGCGCAGAGGAAGTCAGGTGTGTGTCCTCACCAGGCTTGTAATGGACACTACAAAGACGACACAAGAAGGAGAGGGGGCCACAGACAAGAGAGAGGGACATAAAACAAAGGGTTTAATCTCAGGTCCCCGATTTTTGACTTGCACAAAAAGATCACTAACAGGTGAGAGGAAAAAGAAAGCATTTTGACTACCTTGAATAGAGGATAGTAAACAAGAAAATAGCCCCCTTCTGCAAACCAAAATCTGATTTATTTAATTTCAAGTGGGTTAAGATGAGAAGTCAATAACCTTTTTGGTCCTTGACTTAATTTGATGCAAGACACTCAAGCAGGTTTAACTACACCCGACCAAATATTTTTATTTGCAAAACCTCCTCTTCTTTCCTTACTCAGCACTTAGAGTGGTTTGAAATGGCTATTTCTGTGGAGATGCATTTCTGTTCCTGAGGATGGGTTTTGAACCCGTCGTGACCCACTGGCTGGTAAACACTGTGGCCTGATAAGGTGGAGCCCAGGGCAGACCTGTACACAGTCATTAGGAGCAGGTTCCCAGAGTAGGTTGGGGAGGTGATTGTGTAAACACCCCCCAGAGGTAATAAAACCAGGCTGGGCTGCTGTGCAGATTTACACCAGCTAGTCCAAACAGGAGGTCCTGATAAGGGAGGGAGAGACCCCCGGGAGAGACCAGTCGACAGGTGAAGGAATGCAGAAAACTGAAGCAAGATGCCTTTTCAATTCTACACAAGTAAGACACTATATATGTGCCAAGACAAGTCTGCTCTAGTTTCCACCTCAACCAGCCACTTCATGTCAACTGACCCACAGTTGAATCCAATATTTCTATCTGTAAAATCCATAAACGAAGATCCATTCCCCCACAGCCCTCCAGACAGCCGATTACACACCCAGACCAATGTTTGGGGCACACAGTGCCCGCAACTCGACAGCTTCGCAAGTGCAGTACTGTGGTGCCCAATGGTGACCCCAAAATATTATGCGGCAATACTATGTGGGGTGCCTGGCCTCTCCTCTCCCTCCTCTGCAGGAGGAGGTGCCTCCAGTCCTGCGGGTAATGTTTCTAAGATATCGTCAGCTGATATTTTCCGATGGCTAAAATAATTCCCTTGCAAGAGCAAAAGATTAAGCCCACGTTCAAGAAACCCCTACTCTTTGAGCACACCAGTGCTTTAAACCAAAGAAGCAGTGGACTTTATATGGCCAGCTGATTAAAACGTGCATCAAAAATATTGCACACATATCAAGGAAATCAATTTCAAATAAAGTGAGATCGGCAATCTAAATAGAATGCTTTTGTTTACAGAACAGATCAGGATTTTCCAGCACTCCATCCAATACTCTGAGACACTGTTGGGAGGCCCCCAGATGCGTCCTTAAAGGCAGGGGCAATAATTAAAATGTCCCCTGAACGGGGGTAGATTGTACAGTAACAGGGCAAAAATCACAGGTAGCGACCCACTGGTACACAGAGGGACAGCTGGGAATTTTATCACCAGAGATCGCTGGACAGTTGCAACCACAGAGGTGCAATAGCAGGGAGGTGTTCTGAGATGTTTCTATTTTTTTTTTGCGAGCAAAAAAAAAAAAGCAGAAGGGCCCGGCTTCAGCTGGGCTCCGGGAGCGTTTCAGCAGCGTGGGAAATTGAGCGTGTGAAAGAGACGAGCGAATCTTCCAAGCCAGAGCGATCACTGTGAAGACTTAAGTGCAGTGGGAAGAGCAGTAATTACAGGGGGCCTCCCTCTGCCCTGCGAGCTGGGTGTGAGCAGCCAGCCGGCCGAACGCAATCCCCTCTCAGGACTCTTGATTGAGCTGAGAGGACATTTCCTGTTCTCAGGCGGCCTGCCCGGGCAGCAGAGTCAGCTGAGCGTGAGGCAGAAAGCGAAAGGAGGCATAATTAATCAAGCGCAGTTCGGGCTGAGCGCACGGCAGATTGATTGATAGGGACTTTCAAAGGAAATAGAATTCCGAGGAGTACCGATGCGCCCGATTGGCCCACTGATTGAGATTTGCGAGGGGGGGTGGGGGTGGGAAGCAGGGTGAGGTCAGCTGTGGCACTGGAAGAAATGTAAGACTCTCGTCTCCCTCTCTCCTGACATCCTGTGAAATCGGCTACAAGCGGATCCCCTGAAGCAAACCAGCCTTGCCCAGATTTCCCTGCGTTCAACTAGATTGGAACCAATCAGCGCACTCTGTCCTTCACAGGAAGACGATCTTTTTAAAACCTTGTTAACGTCAGGACAGGACCACTACATGGGCGTGAAATAATATTTGGTCAGGTGGCCATGATCCTGAGTTGGGAGGACAGAGGAAGCACCGCAAGAGAGCAATTTAGAACTGTGCTACAGAACATTGCAGTTCAATATTTTACATTTTTTCTTCCCAGTTGCTTAAATTTACAAAAAAAAGAAAAAAAGGACAGAGCCCCAGGAATGACCTCACCAATGCATATTAATTCAGTTGTTAAGTTGTTGGAATTAGTTTAGTTATGGAAATGTATTTACCCAGGACAGCCCACCGAGTTGCATCAACTTGTTTACAGTGGAATCCTAACGTGAAGGGAATTGAACAAGTCAATCACACAACAGTCATAACAGCACCCGCAGGTGCACAACTCTCACAAGCCCGCTCGCGGAGCTACGCCGTGCAAAGGCAGGGCGAGACAACGGAACAAAACATCGGCCCTGGACCACAGATGCAGATGTTTTGTTAGCCAGCGGGTCGGCTTGCGGTCCTTGAGGCCGCAGGTTAGAGGACGCGGGGCCTGACAAACGCAGGGGGCGCGGCGGGAGGGAGACTCACCTGCTTGCTGGAGGGCATGGAGGCGAGAGTGCTGATGCTGCTGGCATCCGTGACCACCATGGCCGAGGGGTAGCGCGAGGGGTGGGAGTACTGGGGCGGCTCCTGCTTGTGGGAGTACACTGCACCAGACAGAAGAGAACAACCCTCAGGTCAGGTCCTCAAGAGCGCCGGGCCGCTCACGAGACACGACCCGCCCGTGTGTGAAGGACACAGGGAGCAGCAGGCAGGAATGCCTGCTGACGGGGCTCGTGCAGGAGGTCTGTTTGCCCCAAAACAAAAGGCCCGAGTCGAAGGCAGATGCTGGCTTGTTTCACGAGGTCAAGGCTCTGCACTCTTGACACTTCGATCTGGCTGCCTTTCAAGGACCCCAGAGTGACACCACGCTGGAGATCACCGACGTGATCTGACCGACTTCACAAGAATCTCGTGGGCCGCTGATCCAATTCACAGATCCCTGGAAAACCTGCAGGAATCCAGCACCCCCAGACCCGGGCTGGACAACTGCCGATACGGGACTTCCGGAGATAGGATTGGTCAACCAGGGAGGCAGCCAGGTTTAAAATGACATTATTGAACCAGTTGTCTGCTTAATTGGCCCCATTACATCCTGCAACCCCCCAGATCGTCAGCAAGTAGGTTATGAAGGAAGCTGGGATTAAATCACAACCTGTTCCCTCAAAGTTAATAACACACCCATCGCTTCCTGGTGACACGGGTTCTGCTGGGCAACAGAAACCAGCCTCCTGGCACTGACATCCCAATTGGGGATTGCAATGAATTTGGCAATTTTGCAATGAATTTGGCAATTTGCAACAAACTGAATAACAGAAAAACTTCCGATTTAATCCAGTTAAGCGGTGCTTCCCAAACTCAGTTGGGCTGCGGAATTGGAAGAGAGTGTGTCCAAAAACTGGGGACCAGGATGTTTGTGTAGCGCTTTCCAGTTACAAACCAGATATTAACAGTTCTGTTCACTGCCACAGGTTCACGCTTCACAAATTCTAGTCAAAAAGGTGGACCGAAATGTTTCTCATTAGTCTAGGTTCCATTTCAAAATTGGCCGATAATGGATGATGATTTTAAAAGCACCTGGTGTGCCACAAAACGTTAAAGCTTTTAATCGGGGGGGTTGAAAGAGTTTGGGATGCAGCCACCCCCACAGGGCTGGACCAAAGTGGGTTATAGCCCTCCAGTCCCATTCCAAGGGTTCACAAGGTGGAGGGGTGGGCTGTGGGCGGGGCGGGGTCAGGGTGGGGCAGGGGCGGGGTTAGACTCACTGTGCGAGTTCTGGAGCTGCGTGACCGTGGCCATGAAGGGCTGCTGGGCCATGTGGCTGGGCGACTGCTGCATGAGGCTCTGCTGGTGGGGGCTGTGCAGCTGCTGCGGGAACTGCACCGGCTGCAGGGCGGCCAGGCCGCCCGTCACGCTGTTGATGACCGGCACGCTCTGGGCCTGCGACGTGTTCAAACCTTGGAAAGAGAAGACTACGCTTAATGACTTTTCGATAGGCTACCTGAAAACGAAATGCGGTCATTTATTTCTTAGGGTTTATTAGGCTTTTTGCAGTAACCATCAAGCCCGTGCATAAAAGACAACAGAATGTATAGAATGTACTCTCTTTAATACGTACCTGCATGTTGCTAATTCTATATCAGTGCAGCACACAGGTTGATACTAAGCTCCATTCCTCTGTAGCTCCTAGATCATGTCAGATAGGATCTAGTTTAAAACTAAACTGACCGTGTCTATACATAAGGTGTTGCACACTTACTCTGGGTGATGGCCATGACCCCCGACAGCGGGGTCATGATGAGGTTCTGCGTCTGCTGGTGGCCGTGGTGGGAGGACTGGGACAGGCTGTGGATGTTGGTCAGGGTGCTGACGGGGGGGAGCCCTCCTCCCGACACCGAGATCTGGGGAGACAGGCAGAGACATGGGGGTCAGACAGCAGCAGGGCAGCATGACAGGCAAGACATGGTCTCCCCTTGCATGGCGCCCTGTGGGCTAGGATTTGGGGTTTGTCCTCTGCAGGAAACGGGGTGCACCAGAATTTCAGGCGAAACTCTAACAACTGGCTGAAAGGCAGCAGCGAAAACCCAGACCGCGCGAAACCCTGTTCATTCACGCCCCGAGTATGTGCTCCTAGATCTCTCTGTGTGGGGGTGGGTGTAGGCAGGCAAAACAAATCCGGACAGTGTGTTAGTGTGGCCAAGCCACACTTGTCAGGTCAAGAAACTGAGGGGAAACGCAGCGCATGCAAGACCTGCGTCTGTCGTGACGGAGGGAGAGCAGGACGACAGCGGAGGCCAGTAATGTCTGCAGCCTCTGCGTCCCACTAGGCCTCAGCCAGCATGCCAGAGGTCACGAGAAATGGTCAGGTCACAGATATGACAAGTCCCAGGACAGGACAGACTGTACCGTGAGAGAGCACAAGCCAGCAGTACAGAACGGTGCACCCTGTCACACATCGCCCTCTCCTGAGCTACAGAACAATACAAGAAGTCTGCTCATGCACAGCCCGCTGCCGCTTCTATAGGAAGTAAACGCTGCCGAAGAGTTCAATAGCTAGCCCTGAGGGGTGATGGGTTACAGCAACAAGAACCACAGATACAGGGCGACACATTTCTGCCCGCACAGCAGGGTGTCAGGCAGGGAGACACAAGGCTCTTGTCCACCAGGGGCTGCAGAAGCAGGGCAATACCAGACCCCCACTGAGGTTAAAAAGGCCCAAGGACCAAGCATTCACCCCTTTGAAAGTGGAAGCACAACATTCACACATCTTTTTTCTGTCTGCGGTTACTTTAAGATGAAAGAATTTCCAAACTAGAGGCGAGGTGTGTGTGTGTGTGTGGGGAGGGGGGGTAGGAGCGGGGGGTCGGTTTCTTTCTAAATTCTTTTTTTTTAATGCTCCACATTATCGACTTCTGCCGTCATTACCCGGGCAAAACAAACAGCGCCCCACCCACACCACGCTCTTTACAAGGTATTTAATCAATAAAACGAGAATGTTCCATTGTCAGGTTTATTGGCGTGTCGCTGGCTGTGCCCCCCTCTCGCAGCTCGGCCTACTCCCTCGCCAGCCCCTGCTGTCCATTTCCAGCGCGCGCAGCCCACAGCACAACGAGCCCATTGTGTGTGCGCGCCTCTCAGCCAATGGCTGCCAAGCTCTCTTTCCGGCATGTTGTTCTCCTTTTAAAGGGACCACAGGCCGCCCTTGTTATCTTATCAGCCCCGCCGAAGCCTGGAGGGCCCAGGTGTGCTCACCATTTTGGCATCAGGTGACAGCAGGCTGTGGCTGGGGTCCAGGCCTCCCGGTGACACCTGCTGTAAAACCGATTGGCTGGTCGCCATGACGTTGTTGCCGTGGTGACTGATGGTCGTCGAGGAAGTGACCTCGCTGGCTCCCTGTTGGCTGTACCTGACTCCTGCAGAGAGACAGAATAAAGAATTAGGCCCACCATATAGGACGTCATAAACATTGTGTCCCAGTCAAACTTCATGAGAGTCATGTGCAGTTTTGAGTTGCGGGACTGTGCGTTCCAATCACATTCTCCACTGCAGTGCAAATGCATATAGCCTGACAAATGCAGAGCAGGGCGCAAGACAAGACTCCCGCTAGTATTTCGATTCACTTCAGGATTTGTCAGCTTTAGATTATTGTGCAAATTTTAGAGATGATAAGTGCAAACAGCAGTTTATGCATTATCAACTTGTCTATGCAAACATGCAAGGAGATACTGTTTAACATAGGGTAAGACGCACTGCGCTAGCTTACAGAAGAGCCTGCTGTTCTCAGTAAATACTGAAATGGGTGAAACGTTTTTTGCAGTGGGATTGTAGGCACTGTAGGTACACAGGGAACCCAAGGGCACTGCTGTTTACACACTGCTCAGAGCAAACAAAGCCCACCTGAGACCCTCCCCCTCCTAAAATGGGAGAGCAAAGCCAGCCTCCAGCCGGCAGGGCCTGAGTAAAGATGTCACCCGTCCACGGGAACATCACGTACCAACCACACTGCTGTAGCTCGGAGGGCAAGGGGGCTCCACAGCCGAAGCCTATCCCAAGTCAGATTTTGTATACGGATCAGAAAATTGCAAAACTTCTGTCAAGGAGATGCAACACTTTTTACTGTATTATCTATAACATACAGATAAACAGAAGGCGTTGTGAGATTTGTGATGCGGATACCCCTTTTGCCTTAACGCAGAGGTTTCCAGCGACCTGTTTCTGCCTGAGCCAGCACCTCTTGTCTGAAAAGACCCCGAGACCAGACAGCCACCAGGTTTTTCAAAAGCCAAGATCACAAGGACTTAAGTCTCTCAAACTGATGTCATTTAAAAAAAAAAACACTTTAACAACTTGTAAAAATATTCCAAAAAGAACCGTTGCAAACCATAAGACTCTGAACTATAATTGCACGCGTTAAGGTTTTTACGTCAACCTGTTTCTATCTGGAGCGGATTTCTATACCAGCTTGAACAGCGCGAGGGAGTAGTCTAGATTGCTGATGGAGGAGGAGGGGGGCGTATCCCATGCCATAGTTTTGTTATTTTTCCTCTCATCATTGATTTTTTTTCACGTTTCCCACAGTACAGAGCCAGTGGGCCCTCAGGAATCCTGCATCTCCCCTTTAATGAAATGAACTCGGGCCAGTCTCCTGCCACTCCGATATGAGCAGAATAAACATTACACAGTCACAACCAATGTCAAACACATTCTCATGCTGTATTCCTAACCTCACGCTGAGACTCCCACCCAGGGTCCCCTGTCAGGTGAGCAGACGGAAGGACAAGCTGTTTATACAGAGAGCGAGACGGGAGACGGGGGTTCCCAAACCACAGCCTGTCCCACGCCTGGACACAGCAGCGTCCACTGGCACCACCAGTACCATCTTCCTACCCCAGGCCTCCACGCCCACTAGTATCCCAGGAGTTTGATTTCCCCAGTGATTTGGAAAGAAATCATTTTAGATCACTGGTGTGCAAAGAAACGTCTGCCCACTGATTTTCTGCCCCACAACTTTTGGGAGCCTGACACGCAAGATGGATCAGTGAGGATTTTATAAATACGTGGGCGCTGGTCAGATGAGTAAGCCGGCCTGCGAGGTGCCCTGGGCTGGAACTGGGACAAGAAGTCCGACGGTAACGATGAATAAACCGCTGGATTTTTAAGCAACAGAAACGAGCATATGCCAATTTAAATTCTGGCCATTACAACCCAAGACAGGAAGGACACTGGTCCTGTAACCAGAGTGGACAGTTGAGGGTTATTCTGTTAAGTTCTTGGCCACAGTAAATGAAAATCTCCTACAATCATCAACAGCAAACAACTATTATGCTGGACATCATTAAAAAAAGCATGTGGGTTTTTAAACAAAATGCCAGATTTTCAAGCCTGCAGCTAGACTATTTCTAAATTATTTCCACTTATAAATAACTGGATATTATATAATAATCAGAAACGTTTGCAAAGGAGACCATGGCTGCCTAAGCTCTCAGGTTGCCTGTTTGAATCCCGCGGCCGGCAGAGGAATCCTACTCCGTGGGTCCCCTGAGCAAGGCCCTTCACCCCAACTGCTCCAGGGGCGCTGTACAATGACTGACCCTGCGCTCTGACCCCCAGCTTCTCTCCCTGTCTGTGTGTCTCATGGAGAGCAAGCTGGGGTGTGTGAAAAGACAAATTCCTAATACAAGAAATTGTAAATGGCCAATGAAGTGATCTTATCTAAAGAGTAGTCCACTTCAGTTTGCAGGTCTCAGGGCAGCCAGTGCAACTTAATGAAATTGTCAGAGCTGCCTATATATTTAGCCACAGTCTTCCCATTCAGAGCCAGAAGAAAGCCAAGAGGCAGGACCCTTTCATCCACACAGCCCCCCCGCCACAGCCAGTGAGGAGCTGTCCTGACCTTACAGCCATTCAAAGGGGCCATGGGACATTAAGATGTACCAAACATGGCGATGACACTCCCCTGCGTCTTGTAAACACCAGTAAAAACCATAAAACACTTCATCGGTTCTGTGACCTGCTGGCCAAACAATGGCTGAGGGCTCATAAACAGACTTTTATTTTACAGCTGTGTCCCTTGTAAAAGTGTCACGGAAAGGGCCCGGCGGCTATTCACTGTCCCGTTTTCAACCGGCAGTAATTCACCAGCAACAGACCCCTGCTCGGCCAAGAGGGCTGGCCATGGCGTCTGGGAGAAGAGTCCTCTGGGACTGGGCCTCTGGGGCAGGGGGGTTCGGGACAATAGCTTCCCTCTCAAAAAAAGCAACACACCCTGCCCCATCCTTAAAAACCACTTTCGACAACCCATCCAGCACACCGGCACGGTGACATGGTGGTTTAGTACTGAACAGAACAGCTCGTTGCACATGAATTGGTAGCAGGGTTGTCCAGTGCTGGTCCAGGCAGTCCAGGTTTTCTCAGTGACCGACTGCTTTAGCTTGTCGAGAGCCAAGCTGGGACGAAAACCTTCAGACACACCAAGACGTTCAATGGACGAACAACAAGACTCCCTCTCATCCCGTGAGAAACAAAAGGCCAACCGTCGCCCTGCAGATGATATGTTCTGAGGCACTGGTGGCCACTGCTCCACCCCAAAATAAACCCAGACCTCCCGGGTTAGAGTTGAGCTTTTATTTCCCCAGAGCAATCCAGTCTTGGGCTGCTCCAGACAGATGAGCTAAAAGCAGCACAACTCCGACCAAATCCGCCCGCACCCTGTCCAGGCCAGAGTGCAGGGCAGGACTCGCCGCGCGCTGTAAGCTTGGTAAAGTGGACAACCGCAGCACCATGCTGGACAGCCTGTGTCAGGAAGACGAGTGATCACAGTCTTCTTCTAACGGGAGGAGGAGGGGATGGAGCTCCTAGCTGTTCAGCGGCTCTGCAGGACCCATGTAATATCAAAGGACTGATTAACATCCCCAGGCAGGGCTGATTCTACTGCGCCCACCTGCAAACAGCAGCCCTCCCACGCTCTGCAGGGTGTAGTGGGCTTTGTGCCTGTGCTCCACAGCCACAGGTATAGATGAGGGAAGAGGCAGCTTGCACTGTTCTCATGCACAGCCTGCCTGGAGGGGAGAGGGGGGACAGGGCTCTGCACTCATGACTCCCCTGCTCTCGCTAGCTTTTTGGGGTCTTTCTGACATTCTTGGGATGAGGGGGGAATTCATAGCTTTTGCACTGGAGTGCACTTGTACTCCTTAATGGGGGGTAAAACTGACCCATAGAGAGACCATACGTTAGTATGAGCTAGCTAGCAGCTAGTAGGATGTAGTGTGGAGCAGTGATTAAGGTTTAAGACTCGGGTTCAATCCCCAGTTGGGTCACAGCTGCTGGACTCCTGAGCAGGGTACCTCACCCCATTTGCTCCAATAAATACCTGGTTGTATAAATGCAAGCAAATATCAGTTTCCTTGGATGGCGATGGCAGCCAAATCATTAAGTAATTAGTTAGAAGCGGGCTGTTTTGCTTCACATGTGCTCTGCTCTCGGCTCAAACCTACGTTTCACGCCAGCCCCTGCTCTGTACAGAGCGGAGGAGAGGGGGCGACTTAAAAGAGGGCAGACGCGCTCTTTTGGGGAGCCACAGCGAGGACCGGCTCGTCGTCTCAGGTCTGCGTGCCAGCGCTCTGTGCTGAGAAACGAGTTCCCTCCCAGGATAAACGCGCGTTCTACTGCCTGCTGTGTATTCTTCATACACCTACAGATGTGCCACACATTCGGCCAGTGCCATACAGAAACAGGGCCATGTCTATATCAGTACGTCATTGCCATTTATTTTTATCCAGAGATAGTCCATGATACCTTACAGGGCCTATATAGGAACTCCTGAAACTAGTAGTGATGAAGCCCACATAAATATCTAATACTAACTGGTATAGTGGAGGAGCATAATACAAATCTTGAAACATGCAAATACATGAATACAGACATGCACATCATGCAAAGAGGCTTGCTTTGCAGCATACAGATTTGTACAAAGACTGGCAGATTTTTTACACTCACCCTGGACTACCCAAAGACACAGCAAAGCCCCTGCATGCTGCCCTCTTCAATAGAAACACCAGCATCAATGAAAAGGCCCGACTGCAGCAGTCTCCCCAGATCCGACCCTGTGACGACCCCTTTGCGGAAACTAAGACTCTTGTGTTTTCGGAGAGGGAGGGGTGTCCCGAAACTTTTTTTTTTGAGGGAGGCTGTATGAAGCCACGGGGTCATCAGTCCTGTCTGGCCCGAATAGAGCCCATATAGCCGTGGACAGCTCCTGCTGCTCCAGTCTGCTCGCTGTCTTGGCGTCTATATTGTAGCCCATAAAGGGATGGGACTCTTAAACTGCCCTCCCCAGCCCAGCAGAGATAAATGAACCCGGGTTACAGTCATTGCGGTCCTCTAATATGCCCAAGACAATGGGACCCCAGGGGGTGAATGGGTATAGTGTAGAAAAGCCAGGGGAGCCCCTAATCAAAGGGCAGTGAGATCTAGTAGCCAGGGATTTTAACTGTCAATTAAGCATGCATAATGCAGACAACGCCATAGCAACGTGCTGGGCTGCCTGCTGGGACATTATTGTAAGGCCAGGGTCTGACACTGGAAAACAGCTGATGCTGCTGAGGGGATGCTGGCAGGACGCCTTGTAAGCGAGCAGGCCACGGCGGAGGAAGAGTTCGGGGGGGTTGGGGGGGGTCTTCCGCCGGCCGCAGCCCCCCCCCGGCGAGGGAGTGGGGTCACACCCTGACCAGGTGCGCCTGGGACTGCGGTGCGGGCCAGAGGATACCGGCACCCGCATAAGCTGAACTTGCGCTCGACGGCGGCTGGATCTCACCGACATGCAACGCAGGGACAGAAGCGAAGCCGACGCGCGAGACCCCGCAGTCGGGCTCGGGGCGCAGATCGAGAGAAGCATTTCTCCGAACACGTGACCCAAGTCCCTCCACGTTTAACCAGAGCTGCAAAGGACCGTCCTGTGCCAGTAAATAAATCTTTTTCTGATGCTCCACCACAGTGGGCATCTGAAGAGGTTATAATATAATTTGCTGAATAATAATAATCATATTAGACCTGCTCGATTTATTACTTAAAATGACATATTTAAGAAAAGTGGCATTCGGCCCAAATTCCAGCAGACTTGAATTACTTTTAAACCCCAGTGCAATGCTTCCTGACCCTGAGTTCTCCTCAGAACTGCAGAGGAGCTGGTCTCTCCCTGCTGACCCCAGGCTGACCCCAGCTTGACCCCAGCGCTTGTCACAGTCCTGCGCTCCTTTATTGAGCTCCCTGTCCTGCTGACTTTGGAGTTTAGATTGCAGGTACAATGTGGATTGTCCTTCATGTGATTTTAGAACCCACCCCCCCCCCCCCCCCGTCCATCACAACCGTGAAACGTTTCCAAGACAGGACACAACGCCATCACAGGACACACCACCCCCCCGCGGAATCACAATAGAATTTACTCAGCTCTCAGCTCGCTCACTCTCTCTTGTCTTCTACTATTGATCACCCGTTCTCTTTCACTCTCTCTGTCATCGATTTTTCTTTTGACTTCTCTGCTGCATGGCCTCCGGCCAGCACCAAGACCATTTGCACAGTGCACCACACATTACAAATGGGTTCGAGAGCCACAGGTTAGAATTTCACAGGTGACCTTTTCACCGCTCAGAACTGCGCTGCATTTTTTTGTTTTTTTTTGTCTCTTGTCCTATAGGAGAAAAAGGCAGAGGTCCTCATCTGCGCCCCCAGCCTGTGCTGTCCCACTGTAAACTCGTTATCAGGTGACATCACCGCATGGCACACACTACAGCTAAGAGGAGCTCCCTCTATCTACACAGGTTAAAAGCACCTTTACCAGTTTCTGTGGGATTGTTTTTAGGTTTTATCAATACAGCCTTATTGCCACTGGAGTTTCTGTACTGAAACCACAACCACCATGGCCGCAGAGCTGATATTCCGGGAGGCCGAACATGAGCCCCAAGGGGCTTACAGCAAGCATGGGGCGGGTCTCCAGAGGCCCCAGAACACGTGCATCGCGGTCTGGATCTCTGCACGGAAACCCTCACCGACACCAGTGGGCAAAGTCTCCCGTTTATGACTCTCGCCGCACAAAGTACAGAGCTCTGCGCACGCCGAACGAGCCCCCTCCTGGCAATCTCCAAGACAAGACGCTTCCCAGACAGCGGGAGCCGGACAACGCAAGGCTACAACGCTCAAGGAGGTGACCGCAGCCCCTCCCTGAGAAAGGCTAATAAAGTGATCAATCTATTCAAGTAGCTGACTGTAGCCAGGACTCCATCTCGGACTTCTGATGACCATGCCTGTTCTATGGACCCTTGCCCAGACCCTACAAGAGACTCAAAACACACCTTTCCAGCACAAAGGCATTACGCGTGTTCACAAAGCACTGCACCCACGGGGAGGCTGCAGGAGACCGGCCTCACCTTGCATCTTGCTTGGCGGGGAGGTGCTGGCCGGCGGCTGGTGAGGGGAGCTGTGCGACAGGAGGGAGTTCATGCCGTGGCTGGGCGCGCCGCTGTAGGCGTCCATGGCCAGCTTCTGGCGGAAGGCTTCCTCTTTCCGGCGGTTGGCGAACCAGTTGTAGACGCGCACCTCGGTAACCAGGTTGGAGCCCAGCCCGTGGGCCTTGGAGGGAGAGACGCCCCTTTGAATGCACTCCGCTCTGCGCAAGGAGGGGGAGAGACAATGGCTTTTCAACAGAGCGAAGCGGGCTGGGAGCTTTTAATTTCCGTTCCCCCCAGCATGCTCTCGCCACTCGCGGAGCTCTGTGGATCACGATCTGCGCCTGTGGCTGGGAGGTTGCCGGTTCAAATCCCACAGCCGGCAGAGGAATCCTACTCCGTTGGGCCCCGGAGCAAGGCCCTTCGCCCCAACTGCCCCAGAGGGGCCAAATAAATGGCTGACCCTGCGCTCTGACCCCAAGCGTCTCTCTCTGTCTGTGTGTCTCATGGAGAGCAAGCTGGGGTATGCGAAAAGACAAATTCCTAACACAAGAATTTGTGTTTGGCTAATAAAGTGATCAATCTATTCAAGTAGCTGACTGTAGCCAGGACTCCATCTCGGACTTCTGATGACCATGCCTGTTCTATGGACCCTTGCCCAGACCCTACAAGAGACTCTCTTCAAATCCAAACTCAAAACACACCTTTCCCCACAGGATCAATGTCTGATTGCCCTACATTCTGTCTGTATAAACCTGCCTGCTTGTTTTAACATTTTCTTTTACTTTTTATGGTGTTTCCTTTCTTTATCACTACACACTGCATGTCCCCCAGCATTCTAAATAAGATGCTGTTGTAATTCAAGAACTCCCGGGCAAATGCCCACGCGCCAGGGGCGCGATTAAAACCCCCTGGCGACAGACAGAGCCGCCATGATCAGATCAGCGGGCGTTCAGAGGTGATGCAGAGTTTTGAAGGTGGGCAGTGGGGGGACAGCCCCAGAATACGGGCAGCTGCTCCCAGCACTCCCTGCGACAACTCCAGTCTTGCCCAAGCGCAGCTCCCTGCCACTGCCTGGCACGCTGGCGTCACTAACAGGAAGCAAGCCTCTACCGTTTGTGCACTCGTTTCCTGGATACCAGACCAGAAGCCCTCTTTCCGAGACCTAAAATATCGGTCTGACCGGGATTTATAAAATTCCAAAAATTGTCCAGGATTTTGTGTTGCTCGTTACTCAGACTGTATAAACAACACAGGCCTGCATATTTACGTTCGTTCCACGCACTACCAGTAGATGTTTTGAACTGACATACAGCGTACGCAGTGTCGCTTGAAAAGGGTTTTTCTGTGTGTGTTTGGCTGTTTTTATGGCCGTGAGAAACGACAACGTTTCACTTGTCTCATTATATTTCAAAGCGTTTTGTTAAAACGGATCATTTTTGTAACCCATGAGGACTGCTCCTAAGTTAAGACTTTAGTGGTGTTACAATGGGAAAAAAACCAAACCTTTTAAGTTTCAAAGAGGGCTCTAATTTTGGTTTTTCCTTGTTTGCCATTCTGGAAGAGCAATAGCAACCCTGCCACTGCTTCAATATCGACGAAGACGTTGAATAAAAACTAGAGAGTTGAAATTGATTTTTGTGATTGGGAACAGTAATCAAGATTCATGAACCTTGGAGGCATGTGTCGATTCTTTCTTCCTTGAAAATCAAACTATGGTCACCCTGGGGGTCCGCAGCGCCCATAACTACCTCCTCGGCCCCCGAGCTGGCCTCCCACGGAGCAGGAGGAGAGAGGCGCGCGGTGCGATCCCAGGCAGCCCCCCCAGACTCTCCGCGTTCACCCCGACACCCCCTCTCACCTGTTGCACTCCTCCACCAGGGCTTCTCTCTCCTCTTTGCTGGGGTTCTTCTGGCGCTCGTAGGCCTGGTAAAGGATTTGTTGGGACGCGGGCCCCCACTTGAAGCGGTTGCGCCTCATTTTCTTACTGGCGGGCTCAGCCCCCGCCTCCTCGGCCATCCCGGGCTGGCCCTGCCCCTGCTGACTGAACTCTGGGAAAAAAAACAGCACCTGATCCTGATTGCCTTTGTCTGTCATATTGCTGTCAGACCCTTGAACTGCCTGGTTGAACTCTGCAAGAAATAAAAAGGGGGCAACATTTGATCCGTCGCACAACAGCAGCAGCAACAGCAGGAGAGAGAAAAGAGGTGCAATTAGCTCCTAACAACGATGAGGACAAAATACAACTAAGGCTCCGAACGTCTAGGCTGCTTGGAAAAAAAAAATCAATTCAATGCTACTGGTATTTTAACAAACTAAATATCAATGAGATACATTTGTTGCACTATAACACGAACTTTGACCTCAATTGGGACACTTTAAAAGCGTTCCCGTTCGCTTCCAAGAGAAGATTTCTCAATGACTGCTATAATAGCCCCTCGGCCACCTCGGGCCTCGACTACAGCGATGTTTCTGAATCTTTTCTATTACCGCTGCGACCCCATCACCTCCAGCGGCAGTAAACTCCCTTGCGTTACTACTGTGAGGCGACAAGTGTTAGTAACTCAGGCACTACTGACAATTAGTGCCATAGGCGCGGAGCCGATAACAGCACCTTCACAATTTGCAGGAAGTTTTTTTTTTTTTACCGATGCCTAATGTTTTGTTTTCATTCAAACGGCGGGTTCTAAAGGTTGATGAGAAAATCAGGAAGATAAAATGTTTTTACAGTCGCCTGGGCATAGCGTAGAACCATTGAGGCCTACCCCTGGGGCAGTAGAGAACACTAACAACTTCTGTATTGATCATTTGCAAATACTTATGAGCTCTTCGGCCGTAAAATATAGGTGTAGAGGGTTAGACGTGCATTCTGCATTCAGTTCAGTTCCGTTTGTCTTATGCACAAGTGCAACGACAGGCTTATTTGCATTCAGCCTAACATTCAATCGGAGTTTCTGTTTCGTGGTCCTAAATCAACACACAACTGTACATATGTATAACTAGGACCGAACTATTCGTTTTATTTATCCTAAGAAACCTATGAACATCCGGGGACTCCCGGCGTTCGCCATAGCCGCGTTCCAGTGTTGACCGCGCTTGTCACAACAGTTGTTAAAAACAACACAACGAAAATCTTCCAATAAGGACTTACGTCTGAGGATCTCTCGCTGCTTCCTGACGTACCACGTGTAGAGCGCCGCTCGCTTCTGCGTCTTCATGGGCGTGCCCTTGTTCAGGTGCTGCGACAGGTGGGACTGGTTGAGCCCCGTCACGTCCACCACCTCGCGCTGGGGGATGTTGTGCTGCTGCATGTAGCCTTTGATCATGCGGGCCGCGCGCCAGGGGTCCTCGCTGGGGTGGCACAACACGAGCAAGGGGTCGTCATTAGCGCCACGCGAGACGGTTACCAATACAATGACCAGCCGTGCTCTCGCACTTGGGGCTGACCTGTCCCCTTTTCCTGTAGCACTGGTGCACTGGTGAATTGCACGGCGTGCCGACGTGAACTAGTCCCCCGCAGCATCAGAGGTGACCCGGTTTAAGATCTGTAGCCTTTCAGCACTGGAGAAAAGGGTGATATTCTGCAGCCACTATGAAGTGCTGCTTTTCCTATTTTCTGTCACGGTGAAGAAAAAGATCAAACTCGAATGGCCTGGTTATTTATAGGCGAGCAACACACGTCACAAGCGAGCAGGCCTGAGTTCTCTCTCATTCTCGCGTCTGTCGGTTCCTCTCCGCCTTTGGTTATTACATTTTAAACATCGCTGTAGCGCTGTTCTATATACACGGAGGTACGAGGATGGTGGGGGGAAATTCGTGTTATTAACCCCCTGTGCACATCCCACTAAAACAACCGACTCGCCCACTTAACATCTATTGCCACCCTACAGCCCGAATAATTCAAAAGTATCTGAATTCCGTCACAGCCTACCCGAACAAAAAGACAGCCATTATACCGCAAGCGATGGAAACACAGGACACTTTCGCAATTGTGCGCAAATAGTTTGGTTTTTCCAAGAACAGCCGTGTCAGTTATTTATATATGTGTAAGAAGCACAGACCGCCGTCAAACAGTGTCAAAACGTTGGAAAGTCACGCAACAGCTCTCTCTCTC